GGGCAGCACTTATTCCACAGGGAGAGTGGAGAGTCGGGGGCGTGCAGGACACACAAAGGGACAGTGCAGGGTCCCTGAACTGGGCAGGTCTGGTGGTACCTGATGGACACCTTTACACTTTACGCTTTCAGCGTCATGCATGGACACTGGAGAAGCAGCACTGGCCCACTTCTGCTTTGCTTTTAAAGGAAAATTCTTTAAGTAAAAAAAGCGAGTCGAATTAAAGAAAAATATTAAGTTAGCAGAGTCACATAGTAGGTGGGAGTCAGGACATAAAGTGAGCACGGGAAGACAGTCTCAGAGTCAAGATACTCCCGAGAATTCCTCAGAACCATGCAACACTGACGCCTGATGCGGTGTCCCTTAGTGTCCCTTAGTGTCCGTGCAGCCCGTCCTTCCAGCCTTCGCCGGAAGACAGTTTCCTCACCGAGCCCCAGACGAAGTAGTTGACGGGGTTCAGGGATCAGGGTTGTACCAAAACACAGATCATGCCAACCTAAAAAGATGCTCAGAAGCGAGATGCTCACCCAGTGAGACAGGTGGAGGGCACACTCGCCTTTTCTGTCCCATGTTCCCTTGGGACACACACACACAGACACACACACACACTGCTTTACAGAGATTTTTTCTTTCTTATGAGCAGGTTGAGCTGAATGCAAAAGTCATAAGTGTCTGCGATGGGCTCCGGGAAGTCAGCAATGCCCCCTGTGGCTTTCTAATAAGGCTGGGAACTCTGTGCTTAGCTCTCCAAGGGCAATGACCTTGGGCATTTTAAGGACGCCATCTTCTACGCTTGGACTCCCTGTGAGCCTCTGGCCTGCAGGTCCCCCAGAGAGCAGGCCCAGGCCATTCCCCCAGCCCCTCGCCAGGCTCCCACCCACCCAGCAGCAGACAGGCGCAGCGCCCCCTGCCCTCCAGCCCCCACCTGACGGACGCTCCCAGACGCTGGTTTTGAGACCTGAACTGAAGATTGAGTAATCCTTTTACAACCAAATCGATGGTTTCCACTTTGTAGCTTTCTACAAATGTGAAGAAATGTCCAAAAGACTTGTCAGCTGATAGGTGGGTAAAAATGCTTTTTGATGACAGATTTGCATCTGGTTTTGGCCCATGACTCAGGAGCATGAGAATTGAGTGACATGGCTATCAGGACGCTCCTTACTCCCAGCTACTTACCTATGTCAACAAGGCTTCTCTATCTCATATCTGCAAAAATAGGGATGGAATTGATGACAACATTGGTCTCATTCTTGCAATTAGTAATAGTCATTCATGGGGACATGAACCGATTGGGGTGGAGAGGAAGTCTCATTCATTTCATTATGAGATGCAGTTCCACGCAAAAAAAAAAAAAAAACCAACCAGAAAAGAACCACCAATGAGATACAACTACGAATGACTAATATTTTCAAAACCTGAAAATACCGAGGTACTGGTGAGTATGTAGAGCAGGTGAAACAACCATACCTTGCCCGTGGGAATGCAGAATGGCACAGCCACTATGAAAATTGTCTGGCAGCACCTAAAAGGTTAAACACGGAGTTACCATACGACCCAGCAATCCCATTCCTAGGTATTTTACTGAAGACAAATGAAAATATATGTTCACACAAAAATCTTCCTTGCTAATGTTTACAGCACCCTGACGTTCACAATGGCCCCAAACTGGAAACACTTCAGACTTCAACTCATGAATGGCTTCAACTCGTGACTGGCAAAAACCTGTGGCATTCGCACACAATGGAATGCAGCTCAGCAGTAAAAACGAACTGTTGATACACGCAATGAATCTCAAGACTTGATGTCAGGTGAAGCAGCCAGTCTCAAAAGGCTACACACTGTATGATTCCACTTATGTGACGTTCTGGAAAAGGCAAAACTATCTGTTTGGCAGAGGATATGTTTTCCGAGAAAGTTTCACCACAAAGGGAAAGCAGAAATAAATTTGGGGCATGATGAAATTATTGTGGATTTTGACTGTGGTGGCATTTACTTGGATCTATATGTGTGTTAAAATTCCTAGAACTGTATACAAACCCATCAGTTCTCTGTAAACTTAAAAATGTATAAAATATATATAAAAAGGAGATGCATTGCAATAGTTTTACTTCTTTTTTTGATATATACCAAAATGTGAAACATATCGATGTTGTTTTTATCAATTGTGTACCTACAGTTGAGTGGCAATCCAGACCAAAAAATCAACGAAAAAAACAACAAACTTTAACCATTATGGTCACGAAAAAAAATTTAAACGTCAGTCTCAACTTATTCAGACGTTTATGTTGCAGAGAAGTATATCGGAAAGATTCCTAAAACTTGAAGGCATACATTATATAACATTGAGCTAAAATTCTAGGGGGAATAAAGAAATACGTGTTCACCGGTGGGGGGGGGAAGCTACAATTTTTGACTACAAGAGCTCACTTGCGAATTTTTTAAAATGGTGGTGAGCATCCTCTCTCGATCACATTTAGAGCTCACGTGGCCCATTTAAAAGAGTGACGTAGTGGTTTTATTTTAAAACATCGACCAGGACAATACGCGGGAAGTTTCATCCTCTGCAACTATTTAGATAAAAACGTTTGCACATCAACCTCAGGCAAGGAGTTTTAGGCGGGCGCGCTGCGCACGCAGGTGGAGGAACCAGCGAGGTAGACACTGGGGCGTCACGAGCCAAATTCTGGGGTTCCCGGCCCCCAACGCCCCGCCCTGAGGGCCCGCCGCGACACGCGAGGGCAAGGCTTCCCGCCGCAGGTGTTTCGCATCGCCACGGCGACTCTTACGTCATCACGGGGCCTCCTGCGTCATCACGTCGCCTAACGTGGGCACCTCGCTCCTTCATCACGGCGCCTCCACCGTCACCGCAAGCCTCTCGTCACGTCTCTGGCGTCACCGCAGCGCCTCGCCATCGTCATGGCGCCTGAGTCATCGCGGCGCCCCCTGCTTCGTTTTGGGGCGGCTTACGTCACCGCGGCGACACCCGCATCATCACGGCAACGCTCGCGTCATCAAAGCGGCGACGCTGGCGTCATCGCCGCAGTGACGCTCACAGCCTCGTGGACGGCGATGCTCGCCGCACCACGGTGACGCCCCCATCACCGCCATGGTGCCGACGTCATCGCGATGGCTCCTACGTCACCATGGCTGGAGATGCCCACGGTATCAAAGCGGTGATGGGTCACCATGGCGACGCCTACGTCCTCGCGGCGGCGACACAAGTCATTACGGAATGCCTACGTCACCACGGCGCCGCGTCACCACCGCCAGCGATGCCTGCGTCACCATGGCGATGCTTCGGTCATCGCTGGCAACGCACACCACCTCTATGGCGGTGTCACGGCAACATTGACTGGTGCCACGTCACCATAGCGACGTCCAGGTCATAACAGCGATACCTACGTCATCATGGCGCCTCTGTGCATTATCTTGGTGGCTCTAGCATCGTCATAGCCACTCTCCAAGTTATCACAGAGCCTCCAACGTCACCAGAAGCCGGAGAGCTCCCGGTGCTTCCAGCTTCGTCTTGGGGCGGCGCCCGTCGCCATGGCGACGCCTACATCACCGCGGGCGCCTCGGAAGACAAGGCTCGTTTTTCTGGGCCTCGTGAGACCCGGCCACTACCGTCCCCGCCAGCCCCCCAACCTCCGGGGCAGGGCAGTTCAGCGACTTCCCCAGGCCCCTTTCGCTATTAGAAATATTTAAAATTCCATCTTACGACAGCATTAGTATAACGATGATTGTATTAGGATTTCAAACATTTTTTTTCTGCCTAAAAGTTTTTTCCCCTCTGATTTAAAAAGAAACGAAAATATTTTTGTAGGTTCCTGGAAGTATCGCGGGGCTGGGCTCTCTGCCTGCTCTACACTGTGGGGGAGAGCCCCTGGCTTATGGGGTGGAAATCATCTGCCCATCACCAGTTGGGCGCCCATTCCAACCTCCAAAGGCTCCATGGAGACGGGAGGGGGCGGGGCAGCTGCGTCAGCGTCACCAGCCATGTCCAGTGAGGCTCAAATGGCAAACTCTGTGAGGGTGCAGTTCCACCTAGGTATTTACCCTAGAGAAACTCGCTCAACGGTGTTTTGGTTCCTGACACACCCCAACCCCCAGGGCAGTGTCCCGCCTATGCTGGTTAAGGAAGGAAAGAATGTTCAATGGATTTGCAAAAGCGGGTAACGAGACAACTTAGACTCCATTGGAGGGACTGTGTGATCATCAGGACCTTGGGGACTACGCAGCCATTAAAATGAATGATGTGACTCACTCAATATGTAGGGACCAGGGACAACGTCCCAGACAGGGACAGATGAACACTGGCCAACTTGGGAACAAAAGATCAAGATGACAAGTCATAATCGATAATAATAATGATGGCTAATTTATATATCCCCTACCATGGGACAGCTGTGTTCTAAGCATTCCATGTACGAAGTCACTGAATCTTCACTATGCCACTCTACGAGGCAGGTACTATTATCTCCATTTTAGTAGTGGAGAGACGGGCACAGAGCGGCCCAGTGACCTGCCTAAAATCACAAAACTAGTAAGAGGCAGAGCTTCGATTCAAACCCAGGCCATCTGGCCCAAATCCATTCTCTTAACCACTTCTCTCCTCTGCCACTTGTGTAATAAAAAGCCAAAGCCCAGAACGATACTCCGCGTGTCCTATATGGCACCTTGGTTTGTATATAAACACGCAGGGGAAAAAAAAAATCCTAGCAGGTTCCATGACAAAGTGGCAAAGGTACTTACCTTGGGCAGCGGTCAAAATGGCCTTGGATCCCACTTTCTAAATAAGAGCTACCTTCATGCAGTATTTGTAAAATGTTAAATACAACACTGAAATTTTAAAACGGGCAAGTCAGCAGCCCAGACCATGAGAGACGCTGGCGGCAGGTTCCAGAAAGGAGGTCTAGATTAGGAGCTCAAAACTTTCCAGGAAGCTACCCCCGAACCGTGCCCCCCACCCCCACCAGCAAACAGGCTCACAGACTCGAGTGTTCAGGTTTGTGAAAAGTTTATTACTTCAATGGTGAATTATTTTTAAAAGACGATAAAACTCAATTCACTTCCAGTAGAAAAGAGACAGAGGCTTGCCCCAGAGACCGGAAGTGGCAGGTAGACGGGTCGCCCACCCGACCAGGCAGCCAGGCGGACGGGGCCCAGGGCCCTCCACCTCTGCCCTGGCACCTGAAAGATGAGGGCCTCATGGCGGGGAGCTCAGGGTGGAGCCTCCCATCACCCCAGCTGGGGAGCAGCCGGCCCAGCGCACAGGATGTCAGTTTCGCTGGAGGAAAGGGGCCCCCCCACACCCAGATCCAGTGCCTGTGCAGACTTCAGGGAGATCAAAGTCCTATGGGGGTACGGGGAACGGAACAGGAGCATGAGCATCTGTCACTCACGCTGGTTTCTGAGGCTTGTGTGAAGGGGCTATGTCCTCAGCCCAGCTCTGGGTCCAGGCTGGGCACTGAGCCCACAGCCCCCTGCCGCCTGGCTTTGGCACAAAGTCTGCACTCCCGGGCTGGGTGTCGTGAGAGTGGCCGACCCCTCGGAGCAAAAGCCCCGTCCTGCTGGCGGAGCCACCAAGTGGGGCCGCAGTGTTTTAAGACTGATGTAGAGGCAATGGGGGAGAAGTGGCCCACTAGGTGACTGGGCTCACCCAAGGGAGAGGACCCAGTGCCCACAGCTCCTGCGGGTGACTTAGAGAGAAGGTTCCAGAACAGTCCCTGTTGTGAGCCTCTCACTGAGTCCCCTCGGCAGCAGCTCTATCCCTGAGTGTGTCCGCACACACCTGTGCACGCACGTGCATACACGTGTCGGGGGCGTGTGCAGGGCGTGGACACGCACGTGCAACTGGGAGGCTCAGGCTTAGGGACTGGCGGGCTATTGCTGAGGGCCCTGAAGGAGAGGGGTGTAGGGGCTGGGGAGCCAGGGTGGCTGAGTGGCTGGGATAGGCTGGCTCTCGGCACCTTCAGGACTCTGTGGAAAAAAGGGGAGTCATGTCACCACATCCAGTCACCAGGCCCCGCCCACCCCAAGCCCCACCCACTTGTGTTTAGCTGGGGAATGAGGACCTGGAGCAGAAGGCAGAGTACCCAGGAGGCAAGACAAGGCCAAGAACATGCCCTGTGCTGGTGTCCAGGCCGTTCACCGCACATGCAGTTCCATAGCGCCTCCCCAACTTGCCCTGCCCTCACCCCATTTTAGAGATGGGGAAACTAAGGCCCAAAAGGACTTGCCTAATACAATGAGAAGGGCAGAGCAAGACGTTCAGGGCTTATATGCAACACTGTTAACACAGAAAACCTGGAAATAACCTAAATGCCCCTCGACAGAAAGCGTTTTTCAAGTACAGTCACGAGATGGTACACAACCTAGACAGCTGTCGCAGACAGGACACAGGGAGGGAAAGCCAGCTACGCAGCCACACGCGTACTGTGACACCAAGGTGAGGCGAAACAGGACGAAACATTAACCACTAGTGTTAACAGTCAGTTTAAAAACGTCGGCACAGGACGCTGCCGAGTCTGGGTGACAGGGAGCTCGGATATTATATTTTCTCTAGTTTTACATTTTTAAAAATTTTTTTCAATTAAAAAAATTTTAAAGACAGCAACGATGATGAGAATTTGGGGCAACTCTGCACTCCCTAAGCCCTCTGCCCTCCACCCCCTGCAGAGTTGGGGGGCCCTCAAACCCCCCCAATATGGGCAGGACGGGGGTGGGAGGTTGGGGAGGCTGGGACTCCTGGCCCCTCTCGCTCGGGGACAGATCCCAGCCTTCTGGATTGAGCCATGTTCAAGAATGGGGCAAAGGGGGAGGGTGTAACCATACGCACGCCGCTCCCTAGACACACACATCGAGCAGCACGCGACACCAGGGGTGGCCAGAATCTCAGCGATGTGGGCCTGAGGAGCCACAGCTTGAGGGAGCCTCGCTCAAAAGTAAAAAGGGGAAACGATTTTCCCCCAAAAAAAGCACTCGTCCGTCAAGGAACCGGACCGTGAAGCCGAGCCCACCTCTTCCTGTCCCCTTCCACTTGTGTTTAGCTGGGGAATGAGGACCTGGAGGTGGGGGAGAGTACCCAAGAGGCAAGACAAGGCCAAGAACACGTCCCTGAGGGGCCGTCCTGTGCAGGTGTCCAGGCCGTTCACTGCACAGGGCGCCTGGCCAAAGGGGCTGCGAACCGGCTGACCTGCTCTGTTTGCCAAGCCCTGGGCACTAGCGCTGGCTGTGTCTGCACAGAGAGACCATCTTTTTCTCGTTCAAATAAAAACACCCTTCCGGGCTAGTGGAGGCGCTATTTCCTGCCTTCCGCCAAACAAGGCAGCTCTTCAGGCACCCCCACGCCCAGGTGCAGGGCGGGGTGCCCTGGCAGAGACTCAGCACGGGCTGGAAGCTGCCCCACACAAACTCCAGGTCTCCCAGACCACTGGCCACTTCCCAGGTGCCTACCCCCCAAACCAAAGCCTGTGGACACCACAGGACACCGTGCTCCCCAAGCACATGGGACCAGGTAGGGTCGTCATGTGGGATGGACACCAAGCTGCCTTCCAGAAGGCAGCATAACCCTTCTTTATGCCTGCCGACCCCACTCCTGTACCCTGAGAATACTAAGCAAGTTTCTGCACAAGGGAATCCTGGCTGGAAGGGGGCAGGGGCGGGAATGGGGCCAACTGTGCCTGACTTAAAGCATCCCAGGGGACTTCTCAGGAGAGAGGAAGGAGAGGAGGGACGTGTCCCTGGCTGGGATGTCCTTCCCCCAATCCCAGGGACCGAGTCCTGGGGAGGTCCCCCCCTAATGCTCATCCCGACATGGTGGGGTCCTGCCAGAGCACAGGAGCCCCCCAGAGCCTGGCTGGGAACACAGCTGTCCCTCCCTCCTCCTCACAGGGCCGGCAGCACCTGCCAACACAAACACGCCGGCACCCACCACTTTTCATTTTCTATTTTATTTCCTCCACCAACCCTGGCAATCGAAGCAGAATGGAGGCAGCCAGCTGGCCCCAAGCGCAGGGTTGCTGCCCTGCCCCGCCCTGCGGCTCGGGAAAGCTATTTCGGCCCCGGCAGGCTCAGCCCCAGAAGCTGGTGGGGGTGGCACATTTTTCAGAAACCAAAATAGCAGCTATTATCAGAAGCACAACGGGAGAGCACTGGCCCCGGCCCAGCCTCAGACTGTGGGGCCTGCTGCTCTGCCTGTCAGTCCCCTGGAGGGTGGCCCAGGAGACCTCCCCACGGCACTCACTGCTGCTCCCGCAGACGGGTGAAAACTCAGGGTGTCCAGTTAAATTTCAACTTCAGGGATAAAATGAATAGGTTTTCAGTATAACCATGTCCCAAGACTCGCATGGGACACTTACCCCGAAACTTATTCAGTTGACCTAAAATTCACATTTAACTGGGTGTCCGCTGGTCGCTCCCTCATTTCTCTGTGTGTTTGGTTGTTGGTGCTCCATCCGGCAACCCCACCCTCAGGCCAAGTCCTGGATGTCCAGTTGATGCCTAAATTCTTTCTTCTTGGTCAGTCAGCCCAGATTTATTTAGACCAATCTACATCAGAATCCCCTTAGGGATCCCTGAAAATACAGATTCCTGGGCCCCATCCATGATTCTACACCAGGAGGCCTAGACGAATCTGCATTTGTAGCAAACCTCCCTGGCCTTGCGGATAAGACACCAGCCCACAGAACGCTAGTCGCCCTCCACCTCCATCAGGCCTGGGGCCGAAGAAACCACCATTCACTCAGAAACCCGAGAAAGGGTTTTCCTCCAAAAGCAAAATATACAAGTATGTTCAGTGTGCAGATGCCCTGGGCGAAGGTCGGGCTAGAGAAACGTGGCGGATGCGGTGTTCCGAGCCGCCAGAGTTCCACTCGCTGCGGGAGGGGAGGTGGGGAAGGTGAGCGTTACCTGGTACCCACCTATAGTCTTGCTTCTTGCAGAACAGTCCCCTTGGGAGCTGATGTCATCAGGGATTCAGAATAGGCCTGCATGGCCTCCTTATCCTTTGAGCCCTTTTTACTACTACTCCAAAATAAATAGCATCTCTCCTAGAAGATAACCAAGCTCATTGATAGTTGGCACAAAAGATTTGACACGGTTCTTCAATTTTCGAGAAGCAAAGAGGAGGGTGCGAGATTCTAGATTCCAACGACTGTTAATGATCGGGGTTGGCTTAGACTTGAGGGAGTGATGTCACCCTTCACCAGAGACGGACCAGCACCTTCAGGGAACATACTTGGTCGGATGGACCGGCCAAGCTTAAAAGGGCTCATCTACTGGAAAATGTAGGCAAGGAATCCAAGTGGGGAGGGGGGCCATGGCCAGCAGGGTGGAGGGACCAAGAGTCAGCGGGTGAAGCAGGTGGCATTTTAAATCAACCAGAGACAGATTTTTCTGTTAAAAGGCTTAATTCTTCTTTTTTTTTAATGACCTGAGAAGAAACATTTCTCTGAAATTAAAATATGTTGGGTTCGCCAGCATGTGATCCTTTCGTCTTTTTTCAATCAAGACAAACACATAGAACCACGTAGGGCCTAACCCCGGCTAAGCCACAAGATACCTAACGGGATAAATTTCAATTATTTGGCCTCCACTGAAACCCGCGGGGAGGGGGCCTCGACTGCGTCACCAGCAGGAACCGGAAGCAGTGGCGTTCTCGCTGGGTCTAGGGGCTGAGGCACGGACGGGTCCGAGCCAGCATTTCACATGGTGTCCTCACTCTCTGCCCCGCCCCGCTTCTGACAAGACCGTTAGGAAAGAGACAAAGAGACAGAGAGACAGAGAGACAGACAGAGAGACAGGAGGCTGCCTGGGCCTCTTCCTCTGGTCCAGCCCCTTACTCACTGGTCCCCTGGGCACCCAGCACGTGGCCGTGAATGAAAGCCCACCCGATAGAGCATCCACGAGCTGGTCCCCTCTGCCCTCCTACCATAACCGAAGTCAAAAAACTATAGGGAGTTCCCTCTGTGCACGGGAGTGACAGCCCCGCTCAGGCTGGCTATTGCAGGGGCAGTGACGGGGGACAACAGTCCCATTGCACCCGACATCCATCAGGCTCACACAGCAGAGGCAGCGCTGGTGAGCGCTGACACCCTCCCACTGGTGCAAGCCCTCCCCGCAGTGGGGGACCTTGGAAAGACGGGGGTTCAGGGTCTGAGGCCCAGGTCAAGGGTCTGGGAGGTTTACAACCGTCCCGGCTGTTCCAGCAAGTGACCTAGCGTGAAGGCCACCCCGAGAAAGACAAAGAGCTGGCACCAAAGCTAAAGAAAGCAAGCAGGCATTGCAGGTGGCCCAGGGCAGCGGGAGCCGGGCAGCGCCGCCACCGCGGCCTCAGCCTTGGGCCCAGGACAAGGTGGGGGCTACCGAGGTGGCTTTCTGGTTCATGGACCCAAAATGGCCTCTCGATTCCCTGCCATTGAGCAGTGTTCCCTCCTCACCACGTAGCCCCTGGAGCCGCCCGATCACAGGCCTTGTCAGTCACCGTGTGACCGTAGCGGCTCCTGAAAGTCTGTCTTGGCCCCTGGACTCTAGACCTCATGTTCTAGTCATTTCTGTATCCCCCAAGCTGTGCATGGTGCCTCGAGAAAAGGAAGCCGCTCATCGGAGGGGTGTCACTAACGCCATGAACGAATGAATGAATGAAGGAATGATGACACCAAGTCAAGAAGGGGTATTTGTTCTCCGCCTACCCCGCCTCTAGGGGGCCACATGTCTTCAGAGCCCTTCTCCACATTCACTCTCTCCTGAAATAACCTGCGCCCGCCCCGGGCCGAGCCGCCACCCTCACTCACTGGGGTCTCCTCTCTGGTCCCCCCATCCTCCCTGCCCACCCGGGGACCTGGTTGCCACACAGCAGCGAAGACTTAAACGCCTCCAATAGCTTCCTGTCAGCCCTGGAATCAGCTCCGAGCTGCTCGCCTGCATTGCAGGGCCCAGCGTGACCTGCCCTGCCCTCCCTTTCTCCTGTCCCCTCCTCGCTCCCTTCCAGCCGCCTGGCCTCGCGGGGTTCCGTCCCGAACGCCTCCGCCACCCCTGCCCCGGGGCCTGTGCACTGGCCCGGGCTCCCTTCTCCCCAGGACGCTGTGCCGAGAGGCACGTCAGCTCCCACATCTAAGCTTCAACTCTGCTCTGAGGAGCGGCCTTTCTGACACTCTCTCTACAGGTGTCCTCAAGCCCTCGGACGCTGCTGTGCGGTCCCAGAGCCACATGTGACAGCTGAGCCTTCGGAATGGAGCGAGTCCAAATCAAGACCCGCTGTAAGTATAAAACACACACCGGATTTCAAACGCTTCACAAGGAAAAAGATGCAAAGTAATGTACGTCGATTTTCAAATCTGATTACGTGTTGAAATGGTCATATTTTGAATATATTCAAGTTAAGTAAAACATATGATTCAAATTAATGTTTTTACTTAATGTGACTATTAGGAAATTAAAACTTTCAATCTCACCTGTGGCTCACGGTGTATTTTTAGCACTGTCACATTCTCTACCATCTTTATCATCAGAGAAATTACCCTGTTTACTTGGTTTTCATCTGTCTGCCCGACTGGAAAGCCAGCCCCCTGCGCCCCACCCACACCCCAGGGGCAGAGACCGCATCTGTCTTGTTCACTGCTATGTGCCTGGCATCTGGAAGGTGCTAACTTGATGGACAAACCAGGTACCAGGTCTCATAACCCAAAACCCACCGGCAGCCTCCCGGAACAGGTAGAGACGTAGAAAGGCAGGATGCAAGAGATGCAAGCGACAGCGCCCCCGCCCCAGACCGCCCGAGGCTGGCTCCAGGCTGAGGGAGTGCACAGGCACAGCAGGATGGCTAGGGCACCCCATCCAAGCCCCCCACCTGTCCCCCAGCAGGCAAGCAATGGGCCGCCCGGCCCAGGCTGCCACCTACCTGGCTCCGGATTTGGTAGATGATGGGGATGAGCAGCAGGACACAGCCCACGGCGAGGAGGACATACTGGGCGTAGTGCAGCACCTTGGGCATCAGCACCAGCTGGGTGTAGAACGTCTCAAGGGTCTGACCCTCCATGGCCCCTCTCTGAGGAGGGGGGGCGACAAACAGGCTGGGGCCACACGCAGATGCCACTCCACGCCACGGCCCTGCGTCCCTCCCACACCTGCCCCATCTCAAGCGCACTGGCCAAAGCGTGCGCTAGAGCCTATGGAAAGTGGGGAGGGGTGGGATGTGGGGACGGGGGCTCCGTTTCCTCCAGGGCCACACAAGGAGACTACATTTCCCAGACTCCCTTGCAGCTGGGCAAGGCCATATGATCACATTCTGGCCAATGGGATGTGGGCACAGGGGTGTTACACTTTCACACCTGGCCATGAAAACTGCCCACATAATTCTCCCCACCACTTTTCCCGGCCACTGAACAAGATGGATTCTGAGAGCCTCAAGAAGGGTGGGGCTGAAAGACAGAAGGGGCCTAGCAGCCCCGAACGGCTGGGTGGAGCAGAGCTCTGCCTCTCAACAGCCCACATCAGACTGTGACATGAACTTGACACTTGGAGGCTGCCTATTCTGGCCCCAAGCTCACCCTGACTTAAAACGAGCGAGGCCAGAAGGAATCCTGAAGCCAGGGA